TCTGGATCCGTGCGAATACCTACTTTCGACACTACGTACCCTAAAAAGCTAACTTGCCATTTGAATAGTGACATTTCTTCGGACTCAACTTGAGGTTGGCACTCTGGATCTTTATGAACACGCATTTCAGGTTTTGAAGTGTTCCTCAAACGTACGGCCTTCGATAATGAACCAAGAAGACCAGACAAGTATCGCCAATCAGCCCGATAAGTACAAGTTCCATCAACCTTTCAAACGTTGCTTGAGCATTGTACAATCCAAACAGCATAACTTTAAATTGCCACAAATCCTTTCCTATTGAGAATGCATTTTTCTCTATGTCCTTAGGGTCAATTTCAACTTGCCAGTAGCCACTTTCCAAGTCCACTGTACTAAACCACTTCACTCCTGTAAGCATGTCCAGGGTGTCATCAATTCTTGGCAAGGGAAAGCTGTCCTTTGTAATGTCGTTCAGACGGCGGTAGTCCACACAAAACCGCATGCTGCCATCCTTCTTCTTTACCAGCACCACAGGTGAACACCATGGTCTAGATGAAGGTTCAATAACACCATCCTTAACCATTCCCTCAATCATGGTTTCTACTTCCTTTTCACGTGCTACCGGCAATCTTCTTGGCTGCTGACAGATGGGCAATACTTCTCCTGTGTTTATTTTATCTTGAACTAAACCAGTCTTTCCTATGTTTGCATAGCATTGTTTGATGAGAAAACATCGGCGTACTTGAGTAATACTTCTTCGCCTTGACCATTTCATTCGGTGACAGAACGCTGCGACAGTCTTCTAAAAGTGTGGTCACTCTCGTTTGTGCATCCTTGCTGGGGTTTCTACTCGATAGATATTGGCACCGACGCAACCAATCCACTTCCTCACAAGTACCAACCAGTATGCCTTTCTCTATAACATGTTCCTGGTCACAAAGGTTCAGCACCCGTACTCCTGAGATGTCAGTGGTTCTGATCAAAGTTCGAGCCACTTTGCATGGAAGGTCATTGTCTACCCTTTCCACGAGTATACAACGATGAGCTTGCCAGGGATTCCGAGGAATACTAACCGACACAATCGTTTCCGATCTCGGTGAAATAACAATCTTCTTAAGGCTGTACGCATTCCGTGGTAATGCCTTTTCCACGAAAAGTTCCTCTTGTCCACATTTCAAAACACCTTGCTTAACGTCATTCACACAACAGTCCTTCCTCATAAAACCAATGCATAATGTCATTTTTATTCGGAGCTTTCTTAAAATCATTGAAATGAAATTAATGATTTTTATTCAATATAGATTATTAAAAGTCATTTTTTATTTACCACTGGTCCGAAAAAAAAACCTCTGTCCTTGGAAGAACCAGCAAGAAACCCAGCGGGAACTTTTTAAACATATTTCACTTTAATGATTTCTTAAATTTACGCGAACACTACACATTGAATAAAACTAAATTTACGGATTTTATCGCGTTTATTTCACTACTTTTACTTATTTTTAATTCCCGACGTTTCGGGTGCTTTACAGCAACCATGGTCACGGGGGGCACGGGGGGCGTCGGTGCTTCACGTCAGCTATATGTTATGATGATGTTATGAACATATAGCTGACGTGAAGCACCGACGCTCCGGGAAGTCTGCAGTCTGCGATCATGTTCAAGATCGTCCCCACCATTACATTCGTTTTGATAAACCACAAATTCTCGCAAAAGAACACCGATTCCTACCAAGGATGATACGCGAGGCTATTGAAATTAAAAAACATCCAAATTTCAATAGAGAAGATGGATGGGTGCTGCCACCTGCTTGGGATCCTATAATTAACAAAATTAAACCCAATCCTAAGCATACCACTGCAAGACTTCATGATACTATAAGCTCGTTTTGCGTAAATCGGACCAAAAATTAATATTCAAAAACTGAAGGTAGCCGGACTAACTATGACATTGGGACGTCAAACATCTCAGTGCCCCCCGTGACCATGGTTGCTGTAAAGCACCCGAAACGTCGGGAATTAAAAATAAGTAAAAGTAGTGAAATAAACGCGATAAAATCCGTAAATTTAGTTTTATTCAATATTTCACTTTAATTTATTTTGTATAATTTTTGAATGAATTATTGTAGAACCAGCATGGTGGCGTTCACCTCATTCCTAGGGGCTATTTTCATTTATATATTATTTGATATTATAATAACCCTTTTTGTACACTTTTTCTTTAATAAAACATTTAAACTTGTTTAATGACTAATTTAGTACATTTTCTGGGATTTTGCTGTAAAAGCGTATAAATTACCCCATGAATAAATTACCAATTCTGAGGAGTCTAGTAGCTGGTATTACAAGCTAATGTTGGTCTCTAGTATTTAAATATGAACATCTTTATACTTATGAAAGCTGTTTATGTTTTATGTACATACATTAAATTTATACGTGGTAGAGCCATGCTGCAGTTATATTAGTAGCATAGTTGTAGCACGAATGGGTCGGCTCGACCGGGGAAAGATCACGCTCTCACAGAATACCAGCGTAAAACAGTAGCTTAATGCGGCTGTGTTTCGTATGGTGAGTGTAGAGAACCGGAGACCCTTTTTACTGGAAACAAGGTGACCTTGAAGTCAGAGCTACTGTGAGGCTTGAGCACCACAAGACGCTTAAGGGCGCCTTGACCCATGCATTGGTGGTGGAAGCCGTGCGGCAGGATCATCGTTCCCATCGCGTCAGGGAAGTTGCAGTAGCTACAGTTCACGACCGCAATAAAAGATACAGCCCTAGGTGTTATGGCTGTGCGGAAAAGGGCCATCTTCGATCTTGCTGCCCTAAGCGAACTGTAAAAAGGGAAGGTGATAGGAATAGGAAAGATCTCGAGAGCAGTGCCGAAGCCTCCATAGAAGCCCAGAAGCCCGGCTTGCCATATCAAGCTGAATTAGTCAATAATATCAAGTAATAAAATAACTCGTGAACTATTTCAAACTATTTCAAATTTCCCCGCGCTTTGTTTGACCTCGTAGCCTTAGGAATACTGCTGTAATACATATAAGGAGAGTTGAATTGAGTGATTGGTCTCTCATGGAAAAATTTTTTTTCCCCAAAAAATTTCGATCCGCCTCCTTATTCTAACAAAAACCAAACTAACCCCCAAACCCCCCACCGACTATTACCGGGGCCCTTTGGAAATTAAATTTATATGAAATATATGTTTAAAAATAAATAATTGAAAAAAACGAAAAATTTTTTTTTCCTTACCCTTAAAAAAACATTCAAAAAAAATCCAGATGCGCAGATGGCTATTTTCCGTTGAGAGTGGCCGTCGTTACCAAAATTCAATCTGGAGCCCTTTAATATAGTTTTATAAATAATACACATAGATAGCTGTGTCAGTTTTTAGTGATCAAATGTGAATTCTGAACATCAAATAAATACTAAATGGAAATATCTAACTACTAATTTAATAATTTATTGTAGAATAATTAAAAATTGTCACTTCGTTACTTTAAATATATTGTTGCGCACCACAGTTGATGGCACTAGCGCCATCTGGTATCGAGTGTGAGAAATAGGTGTGTCAAGATCTTTCTGGAACTGTCCCAATAGCGCCATCTAGTAACGAATAGAAGAATTAAGCTTTCTATAAAAGTCCACCCTCGAACTTTCTGCACTTAGTCGATCGGGACCGGTATTTGCTGGAACATTCTGGATGTGTCGGTGGAAAAGGCGTATATAAAGGCGTTGAAGCCCCCCACCGGGGCAGTATTGAATTGGCGATACGAGCGAAGCTTTCGGAGTGAAGTAAAGTGAACTAAAGTGTTAAGTGTGAATAATTATTAGTGTAATTTAAGTTTTAATTGGTGTTCAGTAATTAAAGTGTCAATTTTGGTAATTCAATCGGCAGTTTTTATTGTCACTAACCTTAAGCTCGTAACAATATTTTATTTAGATGTCAAAAGGGTATAATAATATTTTATGTCAACAAAAGATCTAATGTAACATTAAATAAAAATAATAATTAAAATTATAATATTAACAATTAATACTAATTATACACAATATACAAGGGTGAGGTCAACGGAATGCCGTGTAAACTGACCATAGACACTGGAGCCTCTCGCACGGTTGTCAGCTTATAAGTCAGTTCCGTGGAGAATGCGCATACAACCGAAAACGCATTAATTTGGTGACAGCCACCGATCAGATGGAGTTGAAACTAGGCAACATGATCTACCTGCATAATGTCATGTATGGAGGACATGCACAGTGGTTTTTTTTTCGGACCAGTGGTAAATAAAAAAATGTCTTTTAATAATCTATATTGAATAAAAATCATTCATTTCATTTCAATGATTTTAAGAGAGCTCCGAATAAAAATGTCGTATAGCAACATTATCTTTTTGAAATTAGGGTGACAGACTAGCACACAGTCTACCTAATGGTAAGTGGAAACTGGAGCCCAAATAGATCTACCATATTACTTTACACTATATCTATAACGAGCGACCCGCTCGTTATAGATATAGTGTAAATCTTCGCTTGGATAGGATCTATTTATATGGCGTTATTTTGATTTATGATAATCAAAGACCATATTTATTTTAGTAGTTTTTCGTATTTTTTTTTCAAATAACAATCAAGTTCTTCGTATAAAATATAGCCTAGATCCCCTGGAATTGCTATCTATATATTTATAAAGATTCAGCACAATCGGTTCAGTCTTGCTGAAGACTAGCACGGACAGACAGATTTTTAAATGGTTATCTATTTATGTCTTAATGGCATGCAGCCGTTACCTCCACACTACAATTTTCTCCTGTATCGTGGAGGCAGTTTACATATATAAATTTCATAATAACAAACATCCACACCCGGAACAAGTACTTGTAGGTCATACTTATTCCGTGTGGGATTCGAACCCGCGGCACTCAGAGCGGTTTCTCAATGCTAAGCCACTGTGCCAAGAAGCCGTCACTGCCGGCCTTAGCGCCGATGTAGCGTTGGAAGAGTTAAGTCAATCAACGACGTTTGCAGGTAACATCAGCGCTGTACTTAGCGCTGGGACCATCGGCGTGGCCGCGGCTGGCAACACTGGCGGTGCTGTCGGACGTGCTGATGCTGCTCAACTACGTGCTGGACCCGGTGCTGTACGTGCTCATGCGGCAGCGCCGACGTCTCTCACCCTCCGCCTTCTGTCACTCGCTGGCGCATTGTTTTAAGCGGGTAAGTTATATAATTTAAATTAATATATCGATAAGTCTGACGTAAACATCTTACCAAGCAGGTTAGCATGCTAATAAGTATTTAGATGTGAATATATTCTTAGTAAAATATACATTAGACATTTTTAATACCGTAATGTGAATAAGCTTAGAAACAAGCTTAGATTGTGTTTCGTTTCATTTTCTTCGCCTTTTTCGTCGTCATCTTCGTCGTGTTCCTCATTTTCGTTGCTTTGTTTTACGCCGCCACCATCCATCCCAAAAAATAATCGCGATTTAAACAAATATTTTGAACTTCTAACATTGTTTGAATCTAGAAATTAGAATATTAAAACAACTTTGCCAAAATTCCATATGGACAAAGACCACAACCGAACAATCTTTTGCACTGCATTGATCGAACATTACAGAGTGTTTTCAAAAATCAATACAATTGTTTTAATTACAGAATCACAAGACATCGACGGAATCGATGAAGACTTCGTGTTGTCCGCAAGAGACGGTGTTGGTGAGCGACAGCTCGGGGGCCGAGCTGAAGCCGCTGCGTGCGCCGGCCCCGCCCTGCGCTGCGCTCGTGCGCCTCGACTGACGCACGAACGTACGAACTCACGAGCGCACGAGTGTACGAGCGTGCGAAAGCAAAAGCGCACGAGCGTGCAAGTGCAAGAGTGTACGATTGTGCGAGTGCAAGAACGCACGTTCGTGCGAACGCACGAACGCACGAGCGCAACGCGACACTTGCGTGCAACCCGTACGCCCATTGAAACCACCGCTGTGTCCCAATAAGTACTAAAGTGCACGTGAATGAAACCAAATTTTGCTGTGGACAGTATCAAATTTAATAGAATATGATGTTTCTGAATTGTTTGTACAAATGACAAAAAAATGTATATCAATAATTCAGTTTGGAGAGCTACTTTTTAACGTGATATTATTTTCATGTAAGATTTAATAAACTATTCAAGATTATTTTGTATGTTATTCGCGTGATTCAAAAGTATAATATGTATAACATTAACTTATATATGAGTATATTAATAGATGATTGATATATAAGCAACAGATTGTATATTTCTCATCTTGAAGTGTTAATAAGTCTTAACAAGTAAAAAACTGGCCTGTTCCGTAGTTGCCTGTCACAATACGTGGGCTTTTTTGACAATGAGCATATAAAGTGAGTTCTCGGTTTGACCGAGATAACGACTAAAAAGGGCCCAAATAGGAAGAGACTTATTTTCAAATCAGAATAATCTTTTTGGTTTTGAAAAGATGTTCATAGTTGACTATCTATCTATACATTCCCGGCAGTGCAACCCTAAGATATGTATGACCGTAACGAACCTTCCCGTAATCCACCACTGCTCTAAACTACCCTGAGGGTCACCCACGTAAACCAAGAGTATATGATTGTATGAATACTTTGGATGACGCCTACAATAACTACAAAAAAAAATTAGCGAAAGTATAGTAAGTTAGAAAACTTCTCCCTGCTTATCCCGCAAATTAAAAAGAAAAGTTATAGTAGTAATGCATGACATGTCGTTTTCTTCATAATTTTTTTTATTACTTACAGCTTAAAATAATACAAGCAAAATAATGCAGCTAGTTTTAGGTCATTCTCTATGGAGTTGTAACGAAATTTTTACTAATTCAAGTGTATTTTATAAGTTTGTCGACTATTACTCGTTAACATGTTAAGAGGATACCTTGAAAATAAATCATAGTTTTGGAGGCGTGGCTTATCCCTTAGTCGGTTGAGCTCACAGACGACTGAGGGAGCGTCAAAAACGGATAGTGATGCAACGACTTCATACATTATATTCATTATATTCATATATTATATAGCTATACCGAGCACGGGCTCGGAACGAAAGCGCCTAACAACATTTTTATAACAAAACTTTGTTATGGATTAAAACATGTGAGAACTTATTTAATATGTTTTAAAAATAATTCCATGTACCTATTTGTAAAAATATTTCGGTGACATGGAGAAATTTACTTAGATAGAGCCTACTTTGCAATTTATTTCTATAGAGAAAATTACATGTTATCGTGTTTGGCTTGTCATAAATCCAAGGTCATATAGTCAAGAATCACATACCAAAAACTTGGTTCGTAATCTTTGAAACTTAAAAAAATATGTGAAACTTAAAAAACACCAAATTTTCGAGGTATCACCTGAACTCTTCTTAGCTGTGATAGTTTTTCTTTTAACTTCATTGTATATACTACTATTGTGTATACTTCCCATATTTTCAGAGTCAGCGGTTTAATTGGTAGGGGGGGACACATGACACTAGTGAAAAACACTACTTTAAAGCTAAATATTTCGCCCCGAATCGAAAAGATGTTGTTCCATACCTCCAGTGTTTTGGTATGGTAAACGCGATGGTATAGACAGGTAAAAAAATCGTCCACCATTTACCTGTAACCAAAAGAAATGTTTTCGAGGTTTTATTAGATATATGTAAGTTTTGTAGGCATCAATAATATCTATAATTATGCCAAATTACAGATTTGTAGCACCTAGGGTCTCCGAGTAAAACCGCGGACGGACGGACATGGCGAAACTATAAGAGTTCCTTGTTATGTAACTACGGAACTCTAAATATACGAATTGTACGTAATGCGAAATATAAGAGTCATCATAAAACTGTAAATTGTTTGTAAATAAAACTATTCTAAAGAAAAACAATTTTAATGTCAAACTAAATTTTTGATGTGTTTTTTTTTTTAATGTTTACACACCTTATTTGTTAATTACTACAAGTACGTATCACCCTAAAACAGCATATCCTTTATGAAGTCTTTACAAGTGTCGTTAATGTGTACTGAGGCGCAGATGGTGCCTATTTAAGTTCAAATTCATTTAAAGGTCACAAAATCGAATAAATGCCACATCTTTTGATATATCATGCAGTTTTCAATGAAATTAATTAGTGTTTTAAGTGGTAGTTTATAATACCCGTATGATGTATGTGCATATTTTACAAATTGTCATCGTAGTCACGCGAATACCTACCGAACGTAAGAACTAGTCCTAAATATAACTAAATAGTAAGTCAATTCGGTACTTAACGTAGCGTAGGTGTTGTGTCATAAATGTATGTAAGGTACGTGAGGGTAACATGGTCACCTTAAGTTTTGCCGCCCTATATAACCAAACCTAGGAGGAGGACAGAGACAAAAACACAAAGTTGTATGCTATAACTAATATATTAGGAAAACAATAGCAAACAAGCTTTGGCAATAATTTGGAACACTTCGAAAAAACACCTTAAAAAGTAGTTAATGACCATATTTACAACATTGCAACTGTCAAAATGGGGTCGATAAAACAGCGCCCTTTGACCTTATATTATTTGATTCACTGATGAACAGCTATCGTATCACAAAGTCATCTAAACAAATAAGGCTATAGTTTTTGATTTATAAGAAAGTGACCATATAATTTATAGTATACCGGATGACTATATTGTTACCCTCACGTATGCTATATTATGTATAATTATGTTTTTACACTTTATTATCAATTTTAGCATCTGTTATACGAGCAATAATATAATTGAACGTATTTAAATACAATTTATATATGATAACAGCAAAATTGTTTTAGTTAAGACAGTCACAAAATGACACGCTTTTAACAATAAAACCAAATTAAATATTTTTCAATGTACGAGTAAGTTGTACCTGTGTACAGTGTATTGTAAAATATATTTATTTTGATGTTAATATATTAAAAATGTTTGTATTATAATTTGTTTCGTTTTTATTACAGTCATTCCCCGTTTTTCCTATTTCTTAAAATTTTAATCTTCCTCACGGTGTTTTTGTTTTATAATTAATAACAAAGAGGAGTATTACAAAAAAACCGCAAAATTACAAGGATTCCTCGTTAAAATTATATGTTTTTCGTTCGTTGCTTGAAATAACAATTACTTGGTAAAAATAGTTCGTTTTTTCTACAAAAATAAGCTCAGAGCAAATTTTAGATAACTTATTCATTTATTTAGTAATAATCATTCTCCCGATGCATGTTTAGGCCAAAACTCTGAGACATGATTTGGGAGCTCTAATTTGTAGATTCGATTGAATATCGATCATCAAAAAATGTTTTACACATTTTCACGTAAGAGAGAAAACTGACATCATTCAATTAATGACCGAAAAATCTCCGATACAAGCCCCAATATATCCGAAGTTCTACTTCAAATAATATAAAAAATGAGAATTAAAAACTCCAAATTTAGTGTGCATTTTATTAAATCCTGACATGTTATGCTTATGAAAATATATAGTACAAATAAATATTATTAGTATGTGTGTGTGTGTGTGTGTGTGTGTGTGCGTGCGTGCATGCGTGCGTGCGGGCGTGCGGGCGTGCGTGCGTGCGTGCGTGCGTGAGTGCGTGCGTGCGTGCTTGCGTGCGTGCGTGAGTGCGTGCGTGCGCGAATCACTCATCACCTGGAGCTAAATCAGGTGATGTCACGCGTTCAAAATGGATGTCGGGGCGGTGGTCGTGGAACCAAGGAACCACTCCTCATTGACGCGGTCATTGGCAAAGTGATGAAACGCAACCGTCGGAACTTCTCCGCCGCCTGAATAGACTACAGAAAGGCATTCGACTCGTTGCCCCATACATGGCTAAAGAGAGTCCACGAGCTGTACAAGATAGACTGTACAGTCATAGACTTCCTCGAGCAGTGTATGGGGCAGTGGGGTACGATGCTTTGTCATCTGGGCGAGCGGATGATGGCTGCGGAGAACTACATAAGGATGAGAAGGGATTAACCAAAAATTAAAAAAAAAAAGTATCTTCCAGGGCGATTGTCTGAGTCCAATCTGGTTCTGCATCTCTCTGAACTCTCTCAGTACCGTACTGGAGGGCTCCGGGAGGGGATTTCAGCTACGGAAAGGAGGAACAAAAGTGACCCACCTTTTCTATATGGATGACCTCAAGTTATTCGCCTCCAGTTGCTCCCATCTTATGGAATTGCTAAACATCACTTGTGAATTTAGCAATTCCATTGGAATGGAGCTTGGGACGGATAAATGTGTGTTCCTCCATGTTGAAAGGGGAAGGGTTGCTAACTCTGGGAGCATAGACTTATCTATGCCCGTTAACTTAAGGACCCTATCCGAGGCTGAAACATACCGGTACCTGGATATGTCACAGTACATCGGTATCGATGAGGCTGGTATGAAGCAGTCAGTTTGCGACATGTTTGATGCACGATTGACCAAAGTGCTTAACAGCCTTTTGTCGATTGTGAATAAGACACACGCATATAACGGTTGGGACACATGCCTGTCCTCATATATACTTTTGGCATACTCAGGTGGAGTCAGACTGAACTTAACGTCCTGGATAGAAAAGTCCGCACTACCATGACGTTCCATAAGATGCATCATCCGAGATCGTCGGTAATGAGGCTGTACTCGCTGCGCAAGCATGGTGGGCGTGGCTTTCTGAGCACGCTCACCATGCATAATCGCGAAGTGTGCAACCTCCGTCTTTACTTCCTGGTGAGATCGGATGATCCATCTTATAATGAGGTCATTTCTAGTGATAAAGGGCTTACCCCTCTATCTTTAGCCAACGAGCAATGGCGGGATCCAGGAGTACAAATCATTTCCGACATGGAGACCGTATGGAAGGAGAAGGAGCTCCACGGGAGGTACTACAGGGCTCTACATGAGCCCTTCGTAGATTCAGCCGCCTCCCTCCAGTGGCTACGTTTCGGTGATCTCTTCGGGGAAACCGAGGGTTTTGTCTGTGCAATACAGGATCAGGTTATTAAGACCAACAAATATCGGAGATACATCCTAAAGGATGGCACCGTCGACGTCTGTCGAGCTTGTCGCCATCCCGGGGAGTCACTTAGGCATGTCATCTCCAGTTGTTTGGCGCTTTCTAACTCTGTGTACTTGCACAAGCACAACCTAGTAGCCCGGATTCTACACCAGGAGCTCGCTCTGAAATACGGTCTCGTGGATCGGAAACTGCCTTATTACAAATAATTACCGAAAGCCGTGTTCGAAAATGACCGCGCCAAGCTCTACTGGGACCGGGCCATCATCACATACAGGACTATTCTTGCGAATAAACCTGTTATTTTGCTGATGGACCAGGCACAGTCAAGGATATTTTTGGTCGACATTACCATTCCATATGACGAGAACCTAGTGAAAGCCTAATCAGATAAGAAAACAAAATATCTGGACCTGGTTCACGAGGTGACCGACATGAGTGCGTGCGTGAGTGCGTGCGTGCGTGCGTGCGTGCGTGCGTGAGTGCGAGCGTGTGTGTGTGCGTGTGTGCGTCAAACAACTGGAGATGACATGCCTAAGTGACTCCCCCGGGATGGCGACAAGCTCGACAGACGTCGACGGTGCCATCCTTTAGGATGTATCTCCGATATTTGTTGGTCTTAATAACCTGATCCTGTATTGCACAGACAAAACCCTCGGTTTCCCCGAAGAGATCACCGAAACGTAGCCACTGGAGGGAGGCGACTGAATCTACGAACGGCTCATGTAGAGCCCTGTAGTACCTCCCGTGGAGCTCCTTCTCCTTCCATACGGTCTCCATATCGGAAATGATTTGTACTCCTGGATCCCGCCATTGCTCGTTGGCTAAAGAAAGAGGGGTAAGCCCTTTATCACTAGAAATGACCTCATTATAAGATGGATCATCCGATCTCACCAGGAAGTAATGACGGAGGTTGCACACTTCGCGATTATGCATCGTGAACGTGCTCAGAAAGCCACGCCCAACATGCTTTCGCGGCGAGTACAGCCTCATTACCGACGATCTCGAATGATGCATCTTATGGAACGTCATGGTAGTGCGGACTTTTCTATCAGGGCGTTAAGTTCAGTCTGAGTCCACCTGAGTATGCCAAAGGTATACACGAGGACAGGCATGACCCAACCGTTATATGCGTGTGTCTTAGTCACAATCGACAAAAGGCTGTTAAGCACATTGGTCAATCGTGCATCAAACATGTCACAAACTGACTGCTTCATACCAGCCTCATCGATACCGATGTACTGTGACATATCCAGGTACCGGTATGTTTCAGCCTCGGATAGGGTCCTTAAGTTAACGGGCATAGATAAGTCTATGCTCCCAGAGTTAGCAACCCTTCCCCTTTCAACATGGAGGAACACACACTTATCCGTCCCAAGCTCCATTCTAATGGAATTGCTAAATTCACAAGTGATGTTTAGCAATTCCATAAAATGGGAGCAACTGGAGGCGAATAACTTGAGGTCATCCATATAGAAAAGGTGGGTCACTTTTGTTCCTCCTTTCCGTAGCTGAAATCCCCTCCCGGAGCCCTCCAGTAAGGTACTGAGAGAGTTCAGAGAGATGCAGAACCAGATTGGACTCAGACAATCGCCCTGGAAGATACCCCTTCTCATCCTTATGTGGTTGTCCGCAGCCATCATCCGCTCGCCCAGATGACAAAGCATCGTACCCCACTGCCTCATACACTGCTCGAGGAAGTCTATGACTGTACAGTCTATCTTGTACAGCTCGTGGACTCTCTTTAGCCATGTATGGGGCAACGAGTCGAATGCCTTTCTGTAGTCTATCCAGACGGCGGAGAAGTTCCGACGGTTGCGTTTCATCACTTTGCCAATGACCGCGTCAATGAGGAGTGGTTCCTTGGTTCCACGACAACCGCCCCGACATCCATTTTGAGCGCGTGACATCACCTGATTTAGCTCCAGGTGATGAGTGATTCTCGCGCTCAAAATGGATGTCAGTGTCTTATGTATATGGTGGGTAGACACGTGATAGGCGGTATTTGCTCGGGTCTGTGGTATCCTGATCTTTAGGAACCAAGTGAGTGATCCCAGTAGTGGAGAGGCTCGGCAGCAACTTCTGATCGAAAGCCTCTTGAAACTGTCGGGCGAGCACCGCGTGGCACAGTACGAACCCCTTCAGCCATTAATGATGCAGCCCGTCGAGTCCCGGACTTTTCCAGTTCGGGGCCCTACGGACCACCTCAGCCACGTCTTCTGGCGTTACGGTGACGGGTTCCATAGGCGTAACACTTGCACACTGGCTCGCCACAACTTCCATCCAAAGGCCCTCGTTGTGGTTTACGGGCTCTGACCACAGGCCGCGTCAAAATGCGACAGTATTAGCCCGATCCGTTCCTGGGCTCCACTTACCTCTGGTCGCTCCAATGATTTATAGAGCCTCTTCTGATCACTCTGGAAGAGACGATCCTGGTTGAACCGCCTTGACCTCTCGGTAAATCGTCGAATTCGCTTCCCCCAAGCAGCGATCTTTTGCTTCTGGTCGTCTATGCGCTCCGTTATTTTCTGCATGATATCCGGCTGGGACAACGTGATATTTGTCCCAGCAAACGCCATTCTAACGGTGCGCACAATCCTTGGCCTGGTATTGCCTGACCTGAAACTTGTCAGTCTGCCGATGTGGGCCTTTGCCTTTGCGATACGTTCCTCAATTCTTTTTCTCCAGGCTGGGATGGCACTACTTTGTTATTAACGCGTCCGGGAAGTTAGGGTTGTTAAGGGCATGGCAGGTTAGTTAAGGACGCCATTAATACGGCAAACTGCCACTGCGGCGCCAAAAAGAACTGAGTCCATCTCGCAAAGGTCCCGGCTGGCTTCCAAATAGGCTACCAGCATTGGGTTAAGGGCCCTCACGGCAGCCCGATTTCGCTTGCTTAGGGGTATGCCGGGAAGTCGCGGTCGATTTTCTAGAGGCATGCCGCGCGTTTTCAAAATCGGCTCTTCCAATATACTCCTCATTTGCTCTAGTTCTTGGGAGACCATTTCATCATCGTTCGAATCAACCACAACTGAAAGATCCATGGTGGCTTCCACGCGTGGATGCTGGTCTGTCACCTGAAAAGCCGCATCCCCAGCCATAGCCAATTCATTCGATGAGGGAATGGCCACACGTCGTAGACGTTCGAGCTCGGCATCATCAAATATTTTCGAGCGCATGATGTACCGAACTCGGTCTGCCAGGTTTTGTTCCGTGACAACAAAAAAACATTGCACACAAGCAAAAAAGCAATGTATCCGAGCCTGATACGCTATCCCTGCAGTTTCTTTCCCTTTCGCCCTATAGTACGCCCGCAAAGCGTTTGCGTTCATATTTTTTGTCCAACGCATGTGGCGCATTCCACCAGTGGCGGATGCCGCTAGCCGAGTCCGAGAGGATCCTGCCGACATCAAGCCATCCGATGGGGATGATGGATGCGAGGGGCTGCTAGATGATCTTGCAGCTCCTCGCGCTTGGCTGGCGGTGCATGCTGCCGCGTCCAGCGCCAACTCCAGATGCGCCCCGGTGACCCCCAGGCAGAGACCCTATACGCTTTCTATTACAATCCATCACCCATTTTTGGGCGCCAATTAACGGGAGACTCCCAGGCCCGGCACCATTTCATCGTATCATTGTACGGCCGTAAGCACAAATGGGCCTTTGCACCCTGAGTACTGCCGAGTCACGGCGCTCACACCTCTTGGCAAGGCGCTGACTGACGTAGCAGTTTTTTTCACTTAACTGTTACGTCAGCGGGCGATGGGGTCGTCACTTCCCTACGCCTTTTTATATATTATTATTATTATAATTACTTGGCGAAAGCACCACTGTATAAATTCATAACTAAAGAAAAAAATGTCAAGTTGTCATGTCTATGATTCATAAATTTTTTGTTTATTGCTGAAAATAAACTGAAAATCTCTTCGTAAGAATTTTAATAATGATAGAGATAAAATGTTAATGCCTCTTTTATAATAAAATAAATATATCAACTTAAACGTTATTCTCTATTTTGTGCCTAAATATATCCATAAATTCTACTAACAAAATGTCCAAATGGTATGTATGTTTCTTACGATTCATAATAATTTAAACCTGAATCTTAATCATTGCTTAACTTAGATTGTACAAGTTTGATCTAAGCACAAAAAACAATTATATAAAACCCTTTATGAAATCAACACAATCTGTAAGTATATTAAACTTTTTCAGGCAATCTGAGCGAAGCATTCATGAAATGCTGAAAGATACACCACCATTGCGTGAGTCTAGTGATTCTATCACGTCTGGAACGGAAGCTAAATTCCCTACTTCACGATCTATGCCATTCCCTCCAGCATATGGTAATAAAGCCTCTATTTATGGTATTAAATTATGTATTCACAATTAATTTGATGTGATACAATTAACATCTCTTGCTCCATTGTTTTTAAGCTATTGTTAATAGTATAAAATACATTTATTTTGGAATTTTAATTTTATGAACATAATAATAATAAGAATGTCAAGAATTTTCTGCACTATTCAGCCATGTTATTATATTATATTACTAATGCTAATTATATTGATGGTGTAGCACCTCCGGATGTGTCCCAGAATGGTGCAGCGGGAACAAGCACACTCTTACGTTCAGGCTCTACTAAACTAGAGTCATTAAAAAACTGGGGAGTTTCAACATATAAATGTACGAAACAACTTCTATATGAAAAACTTGGCAAGAGCTCTAGAACAGTTGATACAGGTAACAAATATTAGCTTATATTTCAAAATCTGTTTATTATGTAATACTAAATCTGCCACTGATGAATAATACAGTAGTAAAATATAAATATTATATTTTGTTTAATATACTTGTTAACTAAACACAATATGAAACATACTTGATTAGGAAATTTGTTTAGCAAGTCAAGAGTGCATGGCTGCAAATTGAAACTTGTATTATAAAATATGAAAAAAGCGTAATGAAAAAGAATAGTAAAACTACCCTATAAATTACCAATAATAATTATGAATATTTACAATCATCATTATCTTCATTAGTCTTTCCCAAGAAATTCCACAAAACATTATCCTGAGATACCTGTATTCATCAATGTCTTATATGTTTTAAAATGTTGCTGCTCCTTATGCTGGGGACCTCCCTACGCCCACACTGCTTCTTTTTAACTTATAAGCCAGTGACCACAATCCCACCTGGTGGTAAATAGAGAACCATATACACTTTTTATTGAAAACAAGGTATTCCATCTTAGCCCTTACATTGACAATGCATCTGCATTTTGATACTTGATCAAGGATAAATGTAGATGTTTTTGGTTCATAGCATCCACTTATCTATAGGTGGACTGTGTGCTCGTTTATCAACCTTATTACACATTGAATAAAAATAATTGTATCCTATTCATTTTACTGTAGAGCTGGAGGTGAAGATTGAAGCTCTGCGGGAAACACAGCGAAGGTACAACGGGGTGCTGCGGTTGACCACAGCTCTGGCTGCACAGATGACTGCAGCTTCCCACACACAGCGTGCTCTTGCTGACGCCTTCGCAGATCTTGCTCAGAAGTCACCTGAGCTGCAGAACCAGTCAGTGCACAGCTTTTCATATACTCTTTTTGCTTAAAAACATTACCTCCTGGTTTTTTTCCTGTATCGTGGGGGCAGTGTACATACATAAATTTCATTAGAACAAAAACTCAGACCCTGAAGAATTGTTTGTACACCATACAAACACTTGTTCCATGCGGGATTTGAATCCAAGGCCCTTAACCCCGCAACTCATAGCTAAGCTAATGCACCACATAGCCATTCTTTCTGTGCTAATGTTCAATAAAACAGTGTTATGTATTTTATTTAAGTTATTTTTAATTCCCATGGTCTCATGGGGACTGAGGTGTTTGACATGCCAATACCATAGTTAGCCCAGTCTACCTTCAGCTTTTGAGTCTTAATTTTTTTTACTCATTCCCCTCTATGACCATGGCTGCTGTTAAGCGGCCGAAACGTCGTGAATTATAAAAAAGTAAAATAAACTTCGATTAAATGAGTTAAAATTCGTAAAATTAGTTTTGATTTAAACTACTTTTACGGAATTTATCGCATTTAATTATACTTGTTACCAATGTCATTGTTAAACCCAGAGTACCTTCAGCTTCTTTATTTGTTTATGGTCCGATCTACACAGTATGAACTTATGCTATCTTGAAGTCTTGCAGTTGTGTGCTTGGGTTTAGTTTTTATTTTATTGATTATGGGGTCCTGAGCAGGTGGTAGTACCCAGCCTCCTTCTCTATTGAAATTGGGTATTTTTTAATTTCAACAGCCTCACGTATCATTCTTGGTAGGAATCGGTGTTTTTTCGCGAGGATTTGTTGTCTATCAAATCTGATGGTTGGGACCGTCTAGGATATGATCACAAACTGCAGACTTCCCGGAACGTTGAAGCTTCCGTTGAAAATTAGTTTTTCTTAATGTCTAATATTTGTGTAAGTATATCATTATGCAGTGCTAATGGCTTGGCTCCTCCAGAGTAAGACCACACTCTCACAAAATACCAGCATAAAAACAGCTTAATGCTACTGTGTTTTGTATTGTGAACGTAGAGAACTGGAGACCCTTATTATGATATAAGGATATGAGGTTAGTCCTCAGGGGCCACAATGTATCTGCATTTTGATTCTTAATTGAGGATAAATGTAGATGTCTATGTATGGGCCACTGTATTCACTTAACATCAGGTGGACTGTTTGTTCGTTTGTCACACTTATTCTATAAAAAAAAACAGTTTGGTTCTAATGCGTGGAATATCGACAACAAAGGGGTGAAGACCCGCCGACCGCCTAGTTGTCTGATAGTGGAAAGTTGACGTAGGTATTAAAACGTAATTCCTGGTACACTCTCAGAAATGCATCCTATAGAACACCGAGAGGCTGGCTACTCTGCATGACGTAAATGCACTGTACTTTGTACTGTTGTATAACACTTATATTTTCCTTATGTAAGAAGGAGAAAACGAGCGTGAGGCTCACCTGATTATAAGTGACTGCAGCCGCCCATGAACAACTGCAACACCAGGAAATTGCAGAAAATCACTGGTGGTAATCACTGGTGGTATATCCACAAAGAAGTTGTGCGAGGAAGAAAACTTTAATATTAACATTTTTAACTTTTATATTTCAAAAATTTTTTTTAATGACAATTCGCAGGTTCTTATACAATGCGGACACGCAGCGCTCGTTGACACGAAACGGAGATATTCTGCTTGCAGCATTGCACTTCTTCAACAACTCTCTTAACACACTCACAAACAAGACTATTGAGGACACTCTTCTTACCATACGCCAGTACGAAGCTGCAAGGTAAATGTAAATTTAAACTAAAATTTTCAATTATCAATTCAATTTAACTAGTTGTAGTTTCGCTAACTTTTTTTATATGAAACAGTACTTTGCGTACATTGTGAAAAACAACTATCGAATGTTGTTTTTCACAATGTACACAATACAGTTGTTTTAACAAGCCAAAATTCACTTGAGTATTCACTCAGATGATCTAAGTGCCGTACCAACTGTAAGAAAGCAGTGTTTGTCAAATGCTATTTAGTATTGATTCATTTATTGCATGTCTGGATATACTAAATGAAATAAAAATGTTTAGCATTTTATTATACATTTTAAAAGTTTTTATAATAAGGTTGTACTTCTGATCATAATGCAGTTATTGTCACTGTCATTGAAGACATTATCATACATTTATCTTTCACTATCAGAGACTGTAAAGCCACCAACTAAACATCATACATAAATACATACTTTATACGTGGTAGAGCCATGCTGCAGTTATATTATAGTCTTTGCATTGTAGCATAGTGTCACGTCTATGAAGTTTCGTATTTTTTTTTACAAACTGTCACTCAGATATTGTTGTACTTCATAGATGGGTACCGCCCACTTACGAGAGTGATGTGGCATGCTAAACTATGTCATGCCTTATTAAACAACCACAGAGTATCAAGAATTAGTTTTGAAATAAATCGAATGTATACAAATCACGTAAATATTTATTGAAATTTTAACTACTATTTCAACAAATTTTGATTTAAAGAAAAAAATGCACATAAATGAATATGCAGCGTTTCCAATACATGAAGGATAAATTATTCGTTGGTCAGCTCAGGCAAAAAGAATAATTATAAATGTGTCAAAAAAACTTGGCTACTAAAACCTATTTTGTATTTTTATTACATTAGATTTGAAAACCAAATCCTCGATAATTTTTACCTTCCGTCCCGATATTTAGCCCATTGGACCTGGCAACACTAATACACATAAGTATAGAGAAAGGCGCTAGTAAGCGTACCTTGAAAAGCTACCGGTGCAGTCAACGCCATACTGAAAATTATAGATGTTGGCAGCCATTTTATTTGTTTAAATGTTTATATGAATATTGCAATTAACATGAAATATAAGATGATTTTTATTTTCAAATTAATACATATCTATAATTATACATTGAAGTGTCTGTTTCATCATCATCATCATCATTACAGCCCTTCACTATTCCACTGCTGAACATAGGCCTCCCCCAAGGTATGCCACAAAGCACGGTCCTGAGCCACCTGCATCCATCGACTTCTTGCATGTCTTACCATGTCGTCACTCCATCTAGTGGAGGGTCTCCCCACACTTTGCCTACCAGTACGACGCTGTCACTCGAGAACCTTTTTTCCCCAACGGTTGTCGGTTATTCAAGCTATATTGCCGGCCCATGGCCACTTCAGCTTACTAATCCGTTGGGCTAGGTCGATCACTCTGGTTCTACTGCGGATATACTCATTTCTAAGTTTATCACGCAGAGAAACCCCGAGCATAGCCCTCTCCATAGAAGGAGTCCCACAGAATACCGGCGTGAAGTGGAAGCTCTGCTTCCGCGTTTCGTCTGGTGAGTGCAGGTGGCCGGAGGCCCAAATCCCCCCATCAACATGGTAGCGGAATTAAATGATGATAGACTACCCCAGGAGGGTACCAGCACCCCTGGAGAATCCCTCGCTTAGCATCCACGACCATGTTTCTCCACTCCTGAGCGTGGGTGCTCAGGCTGCCCCGCGTATTCTAGGGGGGGGGGAGGCAAAATTCCGCACAAGAATACAACTGCTCGGGGCAAACGGAGCAACAAAACCAAGGCGACCCCTGCCATGCTATCCGTGAATTTCTGCAATATCACTATATATTCACTCTAACCTAAACGCCGTCCACTACCATCTTGAGACGGCGAGGCTGGCTCTCCTCTTCCTAACCGAGACGCAGGTGTCCTCTCCGGCTGATGTCTCGTATCTCTCCTACCCGGGGTACAAACTGGAACACTCCTTTGTGCCTCGGGCTGGAGTTTGCGTTTACGTCAGAGAGGACATCTGTTCTCATCGACATCGGCAGTCTTGAAAGTTTCGGACCTGTCCATCCTTTGGCTACCCGTAGACATGTGACGATCATCCGCGCGTCTACGGGTGCCTCTATAGGTCCCATAGCGGTAATGCTGAAACAGACCGACTCTTCGACCACGTCCAAATGGCTACAGATTCGTTACTACAGCAGATCCCCTCCGCAGAGATCGTGATCCTCGGCGACTTTAACGCCCATCGCGCCGAATGGCTTGATTCACGTTTAACCGATCATGCAAGGCGATCTGATAATTTTGCCTTAACATATGGTCTGACACAACTGGTTACTTCGCCTACGCGGATTCCAGATGTGGAGGATCATGCACCTTCCCTGTTGTACCTTCTGCTGACCTCTCACCCGGACGGATATCAGATTTTTGTCGACGCCCCTTTAGACTCCTCGGACCATTGTCTTGTCCGGAGTGTGGTGCCACTCACGCTGAAATCGCAGTTGCATTCTGCAGGCTGCCGCCGTGTTTGGCACTATAGGTCAGCCGATTGGGATGGGATGCGGTCTTTCTTTGCATTCTACCCTTGGGGGCGGGTTTGCTTCTTGCCGGACGATCCCAACGTTGTTGCAGATTCTGTCGCTGATGTGGTACTTCAGGGTATGGAACTTTTTATTCCTTCCTCTGTTGTGCCCATTGGAAGCAAGTCTCAGCCATGGTTTGGTCGCTCCTGTAAAACAGCATCATGCTATAAGCAGGAGTGCTACCAAGCATGGGCTGACGCATCAACGTTCCGGGATGTAAACACCAGCGCTCTAAAAAAGAAGTATAATTCCGCCTCTAGGTCCTTCAAAAGAGTCATTGCCAAGGCAAAGTCAGAGCACTAAGGCAGAATTGTGGAGAAACTAGTTCGCCTTCCTTCTGGAACCCGTGCATTCTGGTCTCTCGCCAAAGCTGTCCAGGGGAATTTCTGTCTGCCATCTCTTCCATCTCTGTACAGGGAGGACGACTCACTGACCCATAGCGCAAAGGAGAAAGCTGATCTGCTAGGCTCTTTCTTTGCGTCCAACTCGACTCTCAATGACGGGGGGTGTACGCCGCCAACCATCCCGCGGTGTGGGTGCTCCATGCCGGAAGTGCAGTTCACACAGCGCTCGGTTCGCAAAGCACTTCTCTCCCTGGACATCCACAAGTCGAGTGGGCCTGACGGAATCCCCCAATTGTGCTGAGGACGTGTGCTCCAGAGTTGGCACCGGTTTTAACGCGTCTTTTCCGGTATTCCTACTCCCTAGGCGTAGTCCCAAAATCATGGAAGACGGCTTTCGTCCACCCGATCCCTAAAAAAAGGCGACCGCTCAGACCCGTCCAACTACTGGCCTATCGCCATCACCTCCTTGTTCTCCAAAACAATGGAGTCTATTGTTAACTGCAAGCTCATGAGGTACCTTGAGGGATCACCAGCTGATTAGTGATCGCTATTACGGTTTTCGCCGTGGTCGGTCAGCTGGTGATCTTCTGGTCTACCTAACTACCAGATGGGCGGAGGCAGTAGAGTCCAAGGGGGAGGAATTGGCCGTTAGTTTGGACATTGCGAAAGCCTTCGATCGGGTTTAGCACAAAGCGCTTCTTTCGAAACTCCCTTCCTATGGGCTTCCCGTGAAATTGTGCGATTGTATCACCAGCTTTCTTGCAGATCGGAGCATCACGGTCGTTGATGACGGTGCAAGCTCCGATTTCAAGCCTATTAATGCTGGTGTTCCACAAGGCTGCGTGCCATCGCCAACGCTGTTTCTTCTGCATATCAATGATATGTTGCAAACCCGTAACATTCATTGCTATGCAGATGACAGCACTGGTGATGCTCTTTACACCGGCCGTGCCAATATTTCTCGGGAAAACGTCTCCGAGTACCGGGACAAACTTTTGTCTGAAGTCGAGTCTTTGCTGAACAGAGTCTCGGATTGGGGGCGACTAAATCTAGTCCAGTTTAACCCCCAGAAGACACAAGTTTGCGCGTTAACCGCTAAAAAGAACCCCTTTGTCGTATCTCCACAGTTTCAAGGCACTCCCCCTTGTTGCCTCAGCCAGTATCGGAATCCTCGGCGTCGACATATCGAGTGACGTGCAGTTTCGTGGTCACTTGGAAGAGAAGGCCAAATTGGCCTCTAAAAAGCTTGGCGTGCTCAGCAGAGCGGGACAGTATTTCATGCCGGCACACCGCCTGCTACTTTACAAGGCGCAGGTTCGGCCGCACATGGAATACTGTTCCCATCTCTGGGCTGGGGCTCCCCAGTACCAGCTCCTTCCACTTGACCGCATCCAGCGCAGACCGGTTCGAATCTTTGCATTTTCTTTCGCATATACCATGGGGAGTGGTCTGAAAAATTTTTCGGATTAATCACAGCTGCCAAATTTCGTGAACGCACTACGGGGCAAACATCCCGATACCATCCACACCATCTGGATGCTTGGCCACTGTACGTTTCGAAAGGAGTTTTCTTCCGCGTACAACCTCTCTGTGGAATAGTTTAGCACCGGCGATTTTTCCGGACCGATACGACCTGGGGACCTTCAAGAAAAGAGCTTACTCCTTTCTAAAGGGCCGGCAACGCACCTACAATTCCCCTGGTGTTGCGGTTGATCATGGGCGGCGGTAGTCACTTAACATCAGGTGAGTCGCATGCTCGTTTGCCCCCTCTTTTATAAAAAAAATGACCACGTCTCGGTTCTGTAGGTCATCACTGGCAACACGCACTGGTTGTACAACTTAGTTTTCAAGTTTTGAGGCATACCTGACGAGAAGATGTGTCGTAATTTCTCGGATGCTGCCCAGCCGAGTTTTTATCAGTCGATTAACCTCTCGGTCGAAGTTGGACTTACCTAGTCGGACTATTTGTCCGAGGTAAACGTACTCGTCAACAACTTCGAGCATAGCGCTCCCAACAACTACCGGCATAGGTGTGACGTGGACATT